TTTCTTAAGGAACATTACTCACTTGTAGAACCCTTGGCATGAGCTCCCTAAAACTTGCATAACTTCTCCCAGAGGTCCAAGCCATAAAGGTGGACTGAAGTTTCTTTCTTGTCATGGAAATGGAGCTCATAGGGTCCAGTGTTACCCTTTGTGTGCTATTCACACCTAAGGTCTAGGAAATTGAGTTTTCTCTCTGTTGTTCAGTCAGTGCATTGGGAACCCATAATGGATCACTTATGTCCACTCAGTGATGCCACATAATACATGTTATACTGATGGTTTCACAACTGCCCCAGAACCCCACCAGAGACAGTGGATTGCTTGTGGGCTTCTATGGCAGGTTCTACTGACACTAGCATTGCGCATGCTAGCTTGTCACGTTGAGTAGGAGCTGAAGTCTGTGGCTTGTCTGCACCTCAAGAACAATACAGTATATTTTGCATTAAAATTATCCAGAACATTCTTTGTACTGTGTTTTTCCTAGGGTATGTCTAGAATGGGGCTGGAGGTGTAATTTCCAGCTCAGGTAGACACTTCATGCTAGCTCTGATTGAGCTAGCATGCTAAAAATAGCAGTGTAGCTTCAGCAGTGCAAGTGATAGGATGGGCTCGCTGCCTGAGTAGATACTAGCCTGATCAGAGGTAGTGCAGATATGTTTACTCAAGCTGGAAATTGCTCCGCCCAGCTCCAGGGTAGCCCTACCCTTGCTGCAGATATCAAACCCTCCCAAGTTGTTAAGTACACTGTTCTGAGGGGCAGACCAGGGCCGCCCGGGGGAGGGGCAAGTGGGGCAATTTGCCCCAGGCCCTGGGCCCCACAGGGGCCCCCACGAGAATGTCGGAGGCTTCCCCCCCTCCGGCGCCTTCGCCTCCGCCTTGCCTTCCCCCATCGCCTCAGCGCACTGCGTCCAGAAGTGGCCCTGGACAGCACTGCAGCGGCGTGGCTCGGGCGGGACCTGAGATTCCTCCCGCTCGGAGCCGCATGGTAAGGGGGCGGGGCTGCGAGCTCCGGGGGGCCGAGCGGCAGGAGCTCCTGGTCGCGGCTCACTGAGGCTCTGGGAGAGGGGGTAAGTGGCATGGTAAGCCCCTCTGAGCCGGGCACCCCCCCAGCCCTGACCCCCAGCTCCGAGCCCAGCCCCTCTGAACCGGACCCCCCCCGACCCCATCCCCCCACAGCCCTACCCCAAGCTCCGAGCCCAGCCCCTCTGAACCGGACACCCCCCGACCCCATCCCCCCAACAGCCCTGACCCCCAGCTCCGAGCCCAGCCCCTCTGAGCCGGACACCCCCAACCCCATCCCCCCCACAGCCCTGACCCCCAGCTCCGAGCCCAGCCCCTCTGAGCCAGGCACCCCCCGACCCAGAGCCCAGCTCCCCACCCAGCCATTGGCACCAACCATCACCATCACCCAGCGACAGCCCATTATGTAATTGCAAATGTATACATACCATTAAAGCATTTAATGTTTTTAAATAATGTATTTTGTGTATTTTCAAATTATTAAAAATTAATTTTTGAATGTATTTCACTGGTTATTTTTTACATTTCCAAATGAATGTTACTATAGTATTGCAACTTTTTTTTATGGAAGGGGCCCCCGAAATTGCTTTGCCCCAGGTCCCCTGAATTCTCTGGGCGGCCCTGGGGCAGACAGGCTTCACTCAATATGGAAGACTGCTAGATTGGCTCCACTGATCACTGAGACTGGTTTCGAAATCAGTGTCTGCTTTTTTATGACTATCAATGGAGTTTGAGCAAGGTCTCCCTTTCCTGCAGAACTTGAGGATACTGGGCTATCTTCCCTCAGGTCAGGTTGGCCATGCACACATTTGTTGAGGACTCTGTCCCAGCAATGGGAGGTGGTTGGGAGGTTCATTTCAGATCAGCATCCAAAAGTTCATATACTTCTCCAAACTATCAGAAAATGTTAATCTGCAGAATGGGCTGGAGATCTCACAGGAACAAGTTCTTAAGTGGGATCTGCAGTACTTTCTGCTTCTGGTCAGGCTGGATATACCATGAGAACAACCTCTATAGCCATTTTTGAGGCTTTCACTTTCAGTTTAGCCCAGAAGCAGGAAGAGCCAAGGAAGTAAAAATAAAAATCTCTTAATTTTAGCATTATGCCTTAAACTTCAAAAAAGTTTCAGCTGAGGTTTGCAGTGAGGGTTCAGGATTTTATCTGAACAAGTTCCCCTATCCTTACTTTATATCAGCACAGGTCTCCAATTACAGTTGAGGCTTCAAGGCACTACTGTAATATTGCTGCTAATAATAAACTATAAGTTAGTGGATTTGAAAATCCACAGTCAAGATTGGGGATGGGGAAAATCAGCAATGACCAAGACTTGCATTTGTTCCAGCAGGTCCATGAAATTTGCCTGGGATGGTGCAGTCATAGAATC